AAACTTTTTCTACAATAACTACAAACAGAGCTTAAACTACGGATGAATCCTGCATCATATTTTTTAGGTATGGAAATTATGAAGTCAGAGAATGGATCAGTTTTCATCAATCAAAATGCATATGCCATGAAATTGTTATAAATTTTGGTGTGGACAATTGCAGCCCCGTCAAAACTACAATTGTTAAGGTTCCACAAGAAGATGGCATACCAAATTTTTCATACAGAGAGGCTGTCGGAGCATTACCTTACCTGCTCTCAGGATCAAGACCAGACCTTTCATACGCAGTCAGTGTGGCGTCAAGAAGTTGAAAAAATCCAACTAACAAAGACTTTGTCCAAGTGAAGAGAATTGACTGCTACATCCAACGAACACTCAATAATGGGTCAAGAACCAGAAGAGGTTACATAAAAGGTTTTAGTGAAGCTGATCTTGGAGGGGATACAAAAACAGGACGCACTACAACAGGAGTAGTATATGTTTATGCTAGACTGGAGGTGCTCTGGATGAGGCAGAGACAACCTCGAGTTACTATTTCTACAACCGAAGCAGAGATCGTTGCAGCTAGCGAAGCTGTGAAAGAACTTGTATGGTTAAACTGATTGTATTAAGAAAAAATACCACTTCAAGAAACTCCAGAGCTATTAGTTGACAACGCAGCAGCTATTCATTTGGAACAAAATCCTGAAAACCACAAGACCAAGCACATTCAGATTCAACATTCCTATGTAAGAGAGCTTGTCTTAGAACAAACTTTTGAGTGTACACAAAACATCTACAGAATCTCCAGATGCTGATATAATGACAAAAGCTTTGCTCAAAATCTCATTGGTTCTAATCAAAACCGAATTTTCGCGACGAATGTAGTTCATCCAAGGACGAACCACAGTTCGTCTTGTGACGTCATGGTTTTGAATGTTGGCTGGAAGCTACGTCTATGCTTGCGGCGAACTACGTTCAATATGACGTCCTGAGTTTCCCGCGAAAACGTTTGAGTTCATGAAATCATTAAAGTTCACAAGACATGACATTCTATGGACATGACATTTTATGTAACATTAGGGGCCTAAGCAAGATTTCGAATGGAGGAATAAGGTCTTGAAGAACACTCTACATCTTATATGAAAGTCTTTGTGACCTTAGTCATATTTATTATCTATTTTATATTTAAATTCTGTCAATCAATCACTTTTCTATCAGTGTGCCTAATATACTTTTCATGTTTTCTTCTTGATTTGAATCACTGAAGATTAAACTTTAACATTGTAATCCAAATTATACCGTACAGTATCTACAGACCGTTAGTTCATATTTCAGAAAATAAATATCTTGAGACTTAAAGGTAAGGCAATCCCAACACAGAAAATTTTATTGAGGGTGGAATTATTCTGCTGCATGTGCTTTCCTCGCACCTTTCCAGGTGAAACCCCATCTATAACCCCATCATGATTTTTCCGAGTGGACAAAGTGCTCGAAAGACAGACAAGTAAAAAAATTTCAGTGAAAACTAAAGTTCCTAAAGTTAATAGGTTGCCTGTAATGGGTAACTTGATGACGCATGGAAATTTGCATTATGTTGAGGCACCCCAGATGACGTCATTCAGTTATTCAGAGAGAGGCAGGTTCTCTCTCGAATAACCTTGAGTGGAAACGTGAAAACCTTCCTCTGCAGAACAGGACAAACGAATAGGTACCACTTTTGTCACATGCCCTCAAATTAATATGCCTATGAGCACAGCAATTATGAGAGTATTGTTTATGAGGGGTGTGTGAGATTGTTTGTTTGTATTGCACTAACTTTTGGAAGTTTATTCTGAAGGATTGAGAGATTGTAAGGTAATCTATTCAGTCTTCAAGATTCTTTGTTGTATTTGAATAAAAATTAAGTACATTTGTTACGTTTAGATAAAAATTAAGTAGGCCTGCAGGGCAAAGTAAAAAAGTTAGCTCAATTTTTATTGACCGCATAGGTAGAAGTTGAGTCAGGTAAGAGGTAAAGCAGCATTTTTATTCGTTGGTACGTCCCGGCTACTATTGTTGGGAACTGTAGAGTTATGGTTACCAATGACAGAAACGTTATTGCTGCGATCTCATTACGTGCCTACGACCAAAGTGGGAAACATTTTGAAGGTAAGTTATGTGAAAATTACTATTCCTGGAACTTAAACCGCAGCGTCGCACTTACGTTCCAACTACGACAAAGTTGCCATTGAGACTACTAAGTTCCAATTGGAACTTTAACCTTCAATTAATAAGCAATTCTCGAACGAACTATGTTATAAATTGCCGATTGGCGATTGTCGACAAAAGGTATAGATATTTTCGTGTGTGGTAGTTACGAGAAATAGTGGAAAGTAAAAATTACTTTGAAGTACTTAGTTTTTTCGAGTAGCCAGATAGTAAACTTTACCTTAAATATCACAACATAGTTCCATAACTTTAAGGAATTTCAAAACTAGCAACGAAGTCGTTGTTACTTTCAACGCTACCATACAGGTTATCAAAACTTTTCAGTGTAAACGAGTAATTACTGGGAATATCGAATATAACTTTAAAGTCTTCGCGACTTCATAGGTAATTTACATATAGTAACAATATGTCCCAGTAACTTCGAAAGCTATCTAGAAGTACTGAAACTGAGTTCCAAATTGTAGTGATAATAACTAAATGTTAGCAAAAAAGTATAAATAAAAGTAGGAGAAACCAGAAAGGCCTTTTTTTATTGATAATAATCCACATAATACATAGATAATCCCCACATTTTTCTTCCTCTGTTTGGTCTAGGACCAATTGACGTTTACAAGTCGGTCAAAAACTAATTGATCTCCTCATAAAGGATAAAGTAATGATCAAGTGATAGGTACCTATTTTCAAAAAACTTTCCAAATAATGAGCTCAGTAAAATATAAAAACGATTTTACAAAATATCGGGTTTTCCCGTATATTTCCTGAAGTATTCGACGTTTTCCAAATTCAGTCAAACCTATCTTTGAACAAAAGCTTAAGTACAGAAAAGGAAAGTAATGCTAACAAACAATTGGTGGACAGCGTCAATTGAATTGGGATATTTAGCAGACACTAACAACACGAGAACCTTCTTCAGCAACACAAAAGCTACCTTGGTCCGTCGACAAAAGGTTCAATTCCCCTCAAATCCCAGCGAAACCAGCTAGGTACTTGAAAATCCGGTTTCTATTTACTCCCAATAGAAGGATCATTTTCAAGAACGCTTGAACAGATAGGTATTCCAACGTAGATGATGAGATTTTCAATGGAGTCCTTCAAAGACTCATTCAAAAGCAACTAGGTGACGTTCCTTCCTATCAAGAAGTTGATAATAAGGCTCGCAACCAATTAAAAAATAATAGAGCTCGATGATTATAGGGTTAGATGAAGCTTCTGCTGAGCTTTCTAAGGTGAAGGTCGCTGGACGAACAAAGGCATAGGTTCAATGCCAAAATATGGAAGACCGAATATTCAACCAAGGAGAAGCAGATATATCTTCAGTGAAAGACGATATCGTCAGAGCGTTTGACACGGATGTTCGCCCAAATTCATCAATATACTTCGACTACTGCCAGCCACGACATAAGTGACTAAACTAAGCTCGCGGTGAACCATTACTTGATAGAGGACGCAATAAGCAGCCTTATACTTAGGTCCAGCAATGTGATGTCGGGATGGAGATTGGATAGGTGACTACAATAGTATGGAACGGTAGGTTGCCTGCACTTTCCCAACAAATTTGAATGGAAAAGAGTAGAGTTCAGAATATTGGTGAAAGAACCAAAAAAACGAACAAAGCTACTGTCCTAGCAACAGTTCTTTGTGGATGTCAAATCTGGACAACCTTCACATGGTTCCTGAGGTGTTCAGAAAAGCATCACTATTGCTATTCAAGAAAAATACTCAAAATAAACTGATAGAACCCATGAACAAACAACAGTATATCCTTGAGGTGAGGAAACCAATTCCACTATAATTGAGGCAATGCTCATCCAATATGTCGTCGACATGCCAGACACACGTTTTGCTGAGCAAATTACTTATGTATTCCCAACTAAAACTTGAATAGATCTGGTGGCGATGATGTATCCATCAAGGCTCGGAGTATTTCGAACCTCAAAGGCAACGGAATTCGGAAGTCAAACGGAATTTTAGAGAAGAACGTGGACGTCAGGATGAGAGTTGGATTGGATGTGCAAACAATGTGGTTCCAGAAAAGGCTTATTATTTAGCCATCAAGCCACAGATAATGATGCTACTTTTATGCTGCTTGAGATTGATATTGAATGCCTAAATACTTGTGATTATTCTTTTTTCTTCAAAGTTGGGGCGAACTGTTTGACTCTATAGTCTACGTATTAACATAGTTAAATGCATCCCAACCAAACAAACAAAAATGTTATTGAGTATTTTTTGGCAGAAATGTTCACTTCCAGAAGGTACATCAAGATATTCGATACATTAATGAAAAGTGTAATAGAATTTTGTAGATAGGATGCTGCAAAGTGAGATAAGACTAGAAACGACTAGAAACAAACTTATTCCATTTTAACTGATATTTAATTCTAGAATGGGGAAAGGTATTGAGCTAATCCTAGAACAAACCTTTTATGCACTGTCATAGGAAAATATTTCAAAAACTGTGTACTTAATGTCTATTTTTTTTTTTTTGAAGATAATTCCCCAAGTCAAAAATTTAGTACCTATATGTTGGCAACACAAGCCTTTTCTACATAAAAAATTTGAAAGCATTGACAATTTTACATTGTATGGCCAACATAATGCCATTTTGACTTTTATCTTAAAAAAAAAAGAACAGACTTTATATCATTGGAATATATTTTGAAGTACTCACCTAAAGTTGGAAAATAGAATCCATTTTGAACAATGTTGATTTTGGTTAGTCTAGGGATGAAAAAAAATCTGAGCTGATGGGCAACTGTCTTGACTTTTATATGGCAATGTGAACATTAGGGAACATAATCATATCATAAACTGTCTCTATGCAAATAATTTCATACAAAAAAATAAGTAACAATATATGTATAATAATTTATTATTGCAACAATGTTTCTCATTTGAATAAAAGTATCAATTATTGAGAATTGAGAATAATTTGCGTTTAATTTCGCGAAAGGATTATTCCAACTGCCAACTTACTTCATCAATGCGGAAATCTGACAGTTTTCTTCAAACTACAAGCCAACTCTTCATCTTCTTCAGGAACACAGTAGATATTGCCAATGCCATAATTTTCATGAGAAAAGCACAGATCATCGTTGAAGCTGGATTCAGATAAACTTCCACTTGACATCTTTTTGTTTAGTGAAAAACTGCTGGTGCTGGGCTCATCGCCACTTGACTCATGGCAAGTAATAGTTTCTTGTAGGTTTCCATTTTTCCCGGCAACTTTGCAAATAACAGCAGGTTCTTCAATAAATTTCTCGCTCAAATCGTACTCACTTCCACCATACAAATACGACACAAATTTCTTCTCACTAGCCTTCAATGGAATTTGCAAAACAACATTTTTGTCCCATGTTTCAATGTTAACATCTTCTTCGATAATTTCGTGTTGGGGAAATTTCACATAAAATGAGTAGCAAGTGGTATAATAAGTGGAGCTGACGCTGGTGAATTTCACGTTAACAAAAGTTGATGAGGTAACTTTACTGACACTACTCTCATCTACATTTTTGATGTGAAACGTAAATGCAACAACATCATTGAATACGTTACAAGTAAATTCAGGTACATGATACATATCATCGGAATGAAGAAAACTGGAACTATTAGGATCACTTGATTCTAATAGGTCATTCTCATCATCGGCAGACTCAGGAGCAGTCAAATCATTTTCTTCAACACAACTCTCAATTTCACTATAAGCCTCATAAAAACATTGCCTTTTAACAGGCAAGGAAATAATCAACTTTTTCGAATCTTTATCAAATTTTGCACTGCCACTAATTTCATTCACCTTATAAGGCAGGGTCAAATCCAATTTATACTTTGCAGGTTTTTCAGTAACAAGTTGGACAGTTTTCTCAGTAACATCCAAATCGATATCGGCAGAACATTTGAGTAGGGGAAGATTAATTTCAACAACAAGTTCTTCAGGGATGGCTGCATTTATTTTTGCATTTTTATGTTCGGTAAAGTTTGCCATATCTATACTAGAGCGGTGTTTTATCAAGTATTTTGGTTTAGTATAAACTGAATTATTATCGTCATTACTTGTTGTTGGATTTTTTTTAGTGGGGCTTTTCAGGTTGCGTTTAGAATCAATTTCTGCGTAAATTTTATCATAGAATTCTTGTTGTTCGGCTGTGTGTTCTTGAGGTTTGTCTTTACTAGGTTTTCTCAGTAGGCTTGCTCGTTTCATGCCCTTAAAGCTAATTTTAGGGAATTTTAGATTCTTCTTGTCCAAAATAACATTGAAGTTTTTTTCTATGGCTGTCAGCGCTATATTATTGACCATAGAACAAAATTCCTGATTTTTACTGGCTAAATGCAAAGTCTCAGGGTGAAAAAGTACATCAAAGACTTGACAGCGGTTGCCCTTATTGTCCATGTCTTCGTGGGGAGGCGATAGCGAGTGAGGCAAGGACCATTGAAGACCTCTGGCTCCGTCTTTTATGTTTGCAGAAGAAGAAGGTTTATTTATGTGATCGTTAGAGCAAATATTGATAAAGCCTTTTTGGTTGCCATTGATGCTAGTTTTTACAACATAGCCTGGGGTTGGATGTAAAAACGTGACTTCCTGACCTCGTTCTCTCTCAATTTGCTTTACCTCGTCCTCATATTTTTTCCGGTTTGCTGGGTCCTGGATTTCCTCCACATAATCAAGCAAAAGCTTTCGGAATTCCTCTTTTTTCAAAGCTTCTCCAAGTCGGTTCACTTCATCGCGAGACAAATTTAGTTCTTTAAGCCGGTCGAACGATGAATTATTGGCCATTACAAAATCGTACGTAACACTGATCGGAATTAATTCATTTAAAACCACACTGAATAGAATATTCTTGAATTTCACGTGTACCTATGTCCACATAATTTCGTCAACTAAACGTCAAAACAAATTGAAAGCTGGATTATCGACAATTGTCAGCTGTTGTCACAAGCTGTTGTTCGAGGTTTGTTTGTGTTGCTTGGTGCAACCGGGCGTTCGTTTGTGTTTTGTCGATAAACTGACGAGCTTTCGATCGTTCGTGAAGGGCAAGATTGTCCGATAATGTTCGGTCCATGTTCAACCTGCACTTGGTTTGGAGCAAGATGATAGGGCAGCAACGTAGCATAGAATGAACTGTCAAAAAGCCACATTTGATGATTCTCTTGTTTATTTTGATTTTTTGCCTCATGGACCTAAAATATGTTGCACTTTTCCAAAAACCTTGGATAATTCGAGAAATTATGAAGGAAATTTGCAAAAAAAAATCGAAAGTTATAAAAGGGAAAGTACAGAACACAAGTGAGCAATTTATCAGAGACAGATTAACAGTTCAAAAACTTCAATAAAGAAGGCGCGCAAAAAATACGAAATTAATTTGCTAGAGCAGTCTGATATGCAACTTTTCAGATAGGTATGTAAAAAGACCATTAATTTGAAATGTAAGCACTTTAATCCTAAAGGACTTTGCTACTTAAGAAATTGTGTCCGATCCTCAAATGGTGGCAAGTCTATTTGCAGATGAATTTGGTAAAATCTACACTGAGGAGAACCTCATACAGACCTTCCTCCACCTCAACCACAAGAAACTAGATTTAATGAGGAACTAGAAATAGTTGTTTTCACGCCCGAGAAGATTAAAGAAGCATTAACAGCCATGAAGGCGTATTCAAGCCCTGGCCTAGACAATATTCCAACGGTCTTCCTAAAAAAAATGACAAGATTCAATGGCCACGAACCAGCTTATTTAATCTGAAAACTTTCCGGAAATCTGGTGTGCACATGTCATCCTCAATTTTGAAAAAGGAATCAAATACAATGCTATCAATTACAAACCAATGAGCCTTACATGTAATCCGTGTAAGTTATCGCTAAGGAAATGACAACATTTCTTCTGGAAAATGGAATTATACTATCAAGTCAGCACGGATTTCTTCCCAAGAAATCAACAGTCACGAATTCAATAACATGTCTAAACCAAAGTTTCGATGAGAGCCAACCCGTGGACATAATGTATCTTGACTATGAAAAAGCTTTTTATAAGGTCCTACATACCAGACTCTTGATAAAGCATGTTGGTTGGCATACAGGAAGATTACTTACCTGAATCGAACATTTTCTGAGAGCATTATCTTGCAAGGTAAGAGTTGAAAAGCAATCGTTCAATGATGTTCTCAAGAGTACCACAGGGTTCTGTCCTGGGTCTACTTCTCTTTCTGCTCTACATTGGACACCTGGGGCCTTATTCTGTAAGAACAAACCGTTCGATTCGGTAGAATTTCTTCGATTGTGACGTCATTTTTGGTGTGGTTTTCGCGCTACCAAACCGAAAATGACGTCACAATCGAAGAAATTCTACCGAATCGAACGGTTCGTTCCTTACAGAATAAGGCCCCTGGCCGACTCCATCAAATCTGACCTGGCCTTCTTGACTGACACAAAAAGTATTGGAAATCCTCTCACAAGCAATAAGACACTGACTGGTGGCCTAATTTTATTGGGAGCGTGGACACACCCATCCAAAATTATACAATTAGTGTTAAATATCCTTTCCTGTTACTTACCACAGACACCTATTATATAATATGCTCTACAAAAATGTCCAAATATTGAAGACATTTATTTGTGCAAAATGGAACTATTGAATCAAGATGATTCCTGTGTTCACGATATTGTATCTAGTGAATAACAATCACGAAAATTCAATACGAAGAATGGACAGTTGAAGAAATACCCAATAATCAAGTATTGGTTATTCCAAAACGACATGCAACAGCAATGCTGCAATGTGACCAGAAGAAATACATATGGAAATCATTTCCACGCCAATCGTAATTTCCAAAAATAAATTTTAAATAATAATTAACTATATCGAATATTTTTGGAAGAAACGCATGAGAACTTCAACCTAGAACTTGAACTACCCATCATCGACATTCCTGAACTTCTAGAGAATACCACTACTGTAAGACTAAGAGCACTCGACCATGATGCTCTTCAGTTCTATTTTTATAACAATTATTCTTATTCTTTATTTTAAAGAAAAATGTAGTAACACTAAAACTGAGGTGCAGATTGAATTGCCCAACACTGTTAGTCAATCCCAATTTGCAACCACTTAAGGAGGGAGGAGTTATATTATAAAACCCTATGTTATTATTATAGAAATAATTCTCCTTTTCAATGTTATATGAACCTCATTACAATATATACCGGAATGACCTAAAAAACACTTACTAGTAAGGCAATAGGACGTCACAAACCTAATACATAAAATTTTCAACGGATTATGATTTGATTTTTTGGCTGCAACCGTTCTTGAAAATTACCTAATTGTCACTGAATGGTCTACTCAATATTTCACTTATGTTACACTAAGAAACGCCTAATTAGCTTAACTTTCGTGTGAACTAATTAATGCACCAATTTTTTTTAAAGCCATGTGAACACTTGTTGATGTTTTATGCAATTAAACACCGACAACGCACATGTGTCACGTATTCAATTACTCTAGTAAAAAAAAGTTTCTGGTAAAATTAAGATTGAGCTTTACAGGTGTGGCTATTTGATATACAAAAAAAAAACATCAGAATTGGCATTTACTTAAATAAATTGCAAGGAAACTTCTAACGAAAGTCAATAATCCGATTAAGGTGCTTAAACTAGATCCCTCCGAAAACAAGTCCAATTTGTCAGAATTGAAAGCTAGCGGAGCTCATACAGCCCTAGAATCAAATCAGAGATAGATGTAGTAAATGGTGTAGTCGGGCGCTGTACTTACACATGTAATGTTAAGCGTATTCAAGTCTAATGCCAGACCAGCCAGAGCGGAACACGGGTCCTGACATTAATTACCTATATCCGTGTTCCGGGACTATCGATCACAACCTGTCAATTAGACAGCATTAGTTGTTTGGATTCAATCCAGTTTCAGCCAATTTTAACACTTAATTATGAGTCATAATACTGGCAAATTAAACCTGGCAAAACTTTTCGATAAATTCTCGTTTCTTTAATAATAAAATTTGGGCGCTACTAAGTATTTCAAACAGATACTGATGATGGCGAATATCAAAATTAATCCGCGCCGCTTCTTCTTGTACTATACTTTCTGGCTCCGCGGCCGTGGAGAGTTTCCTAAATTAATTAGCAACTTTCTATATTTCTTACTCCCTTCCAGTAATTAAACAATAATACGTTTCAAATCGCGCGCTTATTTATTTTTGCGGAACTTGCCTGCCTTGAGCAGCAGCCGTGCACCCTGGAACGGGTTTATTTCCTTCCCTCTTAAAAGTTACGACTCTTGGCTGGCAACATCTTTTATGCCACAAGGTAATTTTACAAGTAATTAGAGGCAATTACCCGATGTCGTTAGACGACCGCAACGAAATATATATCTTGTAAAAATATTTTTGGGTCAACCCTGTTGGAGAAAAGTTTTGGGGCGTTTATGTTCCAATTTACATAAAAGCGATTAAATATTTTGAAACTTCAGTCATTAGTGGGAGGTTACAATATTTTTCTCCAAAAAAAAAAGAAGATATATTGTTCCATCAATGTCAGCTCTAATGGAATCCAAAAATCTTCTACACAAAAGTGTATCCTGTAAAAACGCATTGCTAGAGTGAATCACACCGGACAATGCCTGGACCGTTTCCTGAAATCCTGAAAATAGTCACGTTGCGTTACGCCCTTGTCTGCCATGCGTTACGTTCTGATCGCTTTCCCCTTTACGGAATAAGTCAGGATTAGTCATGAGTTTTCCTGCAAACGCTATCATATGGATAAAAACCTTTTATGGATTTAATACAAATAATATTTGAAGAAGGGTAGCGGATGATTATACTTCATTTGTAGCAACAATGTATTTATTGCAGCTATTGATTGATGAGTTTGAACTTAACGTGAAACTTGTGAACGATTTCTTTATCAATTTGTTATTTTTATTGTTATTATTATTATTGTCCAGCAGTATGCAGTTTTCTCCGATGAAACTGCTGTTGCATATGCGCCAGTTTAAATTTGAGGTTCTTGTTTGTTTCTTATCGTAGAAAGATTATTAATTTGATCGTCCATAGTCAGGCACTTGTATTACTCTGCTGATCATTCATCAATAATAGAATCACACACTACTGTGCCGGTATCGCAGTTCTGCAAGCAGTTAGCAAACTAGTGTGGCAAAGATAGAGGTATAGCCATCTGTACACACTTTCACAGATAGTGAACCAAAGTGGTATTATTATTCTGCAGATCCGCGTGTTCTTTGTTTTTGAAAACATTTAAGGAGAAGGCGGTAACAGTTTCCTCTCTCAGCGAAATCCATGGAAACACAACTCGATTAGAGATGAAGTTTCTCCTAGGGAATATTGTTAAGCACACCTTTCTTTGGACAATTTAGGACTGTGGCCATGCAAGTTTGCATTTTCACCGACTTGGTAGATGTTAAGGTCAAGTGCATGGTACTCATTTGAGGTTTTAAAAGTCTCTATACGGGGAGTCAGTCTTCTTTCTCTCAACGTTGGAAGATTGGATAGTTGCAATCGTTCTTCATATGGGAAATGTATAGTTTCTGGTAGAATTTTCGAAGCTCGTCTCTGAACTTATTTAAGATGCTTTATATCCTTTGTGAAATAGAGGCTCCACGCGTTATACGCATTGTCACTCCCAGATCCTGTTGTACTTACACATGTTTTAGTAGTTTAGTGGTGAAATACTAAGTACGCTAGGTGCACTATATGGAGGCGAATACACTTATCTTCATTAAGCTTTAGTTGCTAGGTTTGTGTCCACGCTTCCAATGAGATTAGGTCATCAGTCACTGTGTTACTACTTGTGAGACAATTTTCAAAATTATTTGTGTCGTCAGCAAAGAATGCCAGGTTAGATTTGATGAAGTCGGCCAGGTCTGCAATTTAGAGCTGGAAGAGAAGTGGACCCAAGACGGAACCG